AAATAGATTCCCCCCATGCTAATTTGATTGTTGTTCATTTTATGATATTCAAAGTTTAAATGAACAATTTCCATAGTTCTACCTTAGCCAAGGATAATTTACATGTAGCTGACTTATGCTGACTTGTTGAAAAAGGAAAGTTCCAAATGTTGAAGAAGAACATCGAAGCTTAAGAAGACCACCTTTGCTCCCAAAAAAGGATTCTGAGACTTCTTAATTTTTACAGGTGCCTTTTACTTAGCATGTAAAAGCACTTGAGCAAAACAATTCCTAGATGCAAGTCAGGATAAAACCCGGGGAGCTTAGATTTGGATCAGCTCAAGAAGGGTTTGTGGGGTGGGACTGGCAGTTAAGGGAAACTGCCAGGGGAGGGAGGGGCACACCTCATCAGCAAGGTACCCTGCATAATCAACATTTGTATACCTAACCCTGAATTGTACCCCACATCTTTATAATAAAAAAAAGAAAAGAAAAGAAAGAGAAGGGTTTGCATTCTCAGCACAGCCCAAACAGTTTTATCTCTTCATCTAGTTTGCATCACTTGGCCTTTCAGGGTAGACGGGAAAAGGCAAAGGGTGGTATTTCCAAAGACAGAAGTATGTATTATTACATTTAGACTATTATTAAAAAAAATTTGTGCCAAATTAAAGGATAGTAAGATGTACTTTCAAGAACCAAAGGTCTGCCCTTTAATCTAAGCTTTATAAGCCAACTAAACTAACCACTGAGTTCGGGAAAACAAACACTTCAAGGTTCCTTCCCACAAAATAGAAAACACTGAATAGATTAACTGAACAATGATTCAGTAAGTACGGTATACTAATAACAAGAATAGATTCCAAAATGCCTTTTCAGAAATATATTATATATATACCTTTAAAAATTAGAATCCCAAACATTACTAGTTACCAGATATTTCTACTTTTGGTGCATTATCTTTTTTAAACTCTAAAACAATCCAGCAAAGTAGATGCTAGTAAGTACTCTATTTTTACAGAAGAGGAGACTGAGGCTCAGATAAATTAGGTAACTTGCTCAAGTCAATAAGACCAGCAAGTGTCAGCCCAAAACTCAAACTCTGGTCTGAAGTAAAAGCCTACGTGTTTTCCTCTCTATCATTCTACTTCAAAAAAAGACAACTAAGCTAAGACTATCTTTTTATTCTGAAGATTCCAAAACAGAATTTAAAAAGTAAGCCAAAATAGAACTGACGTGCTCCACTACCTAAGGTCAGGCCTCTTTTCCACCATTAAGGCCCAACAGCTGAAGAAAATCTCACATGGGGCTTTCCTAGGTCCAACCCACAGAGCCCTTTGTTTGCTAAATCAGTATTTCTTTGAGTTGGAATCTCACTCTGTCGCCCAGACTGGAGTGCAGTGGCCGCTCCCGGCCGCTCCCGCCACAGCCTCGACCTGCTGGGCTCCGGCGATCCTTCCGCCTCAGCCTTCCAAGTAGCTGGAACTACAGGCGCGCGCTACCACGCCCGGCTAATTTTTGATTTGTTGTAGAGATGAGGTCTCGCCAAGTTGCTCAGTATTTCTTTCTTTTTTTTTTTGAGTCGGAGTCTCTGTCGCCCAGACTGGAGTGCAGTGGCCACTCCTGGCCACCGCAGCCTCGACCTGCTGGGCTCCGGCGAGCCTTCCGTCTCAGCCTTCCAAATAGCTGGAATTACAGGCGCGCACTACCACGCCCGGCTAATTTTTTTGATTTATTGTAGAGATGAGGTCTCACCAAGTTGCCCAGGCGGGTATTGAACCCGTAGGCTCAGGCAATCCACTCACCTCAGCCTCCCAAGGCATGGGATTGCAGGCTGAGCCACTGAGCCCGGCTATGCTCAGTATTTCTTAAACAAAAGCATGAAATACCCCTCCTTGTGCTTGAAAACATAAAGAAGTACCTTGTGTTTCCCTTCCCTGGGGTAGCTGTCTATATTCAGAGCAAGTAAAAGGTAGCTAACTGAATAGGGCAGTGTCTCAAGCAAACTTCAGATTGTTGCCAAAAAACAAACTTCATCTGAATACAACTTCCAATCCCAAAACAGTAAATGAGAGCACTGAGAAGAGAGGCTGCCACCACCACCCACTTGACAAGCTCTCACATCATGGGGTAAGGCCCTGAGGGGCAGCAGGGCTGACATTCACCATCAGGTCCATCAAATCACTACCTGCCCCCTCTGCCAGGGAGGGAGACTGGAAGCAAGTACCCTCCAGTCCTATTTCAGAGCCCTTTATGAGTCAAGAGTGATCAAGCAGATAGAGAATCTAATGGCTGGAGACCAGACCCGGGCTTTAAAGTACCAAGCAGAGACATATAAACTCCCAAAAATGAGACAGGGAGAGGCAGGCAACAGCTTTTAAGAGAATAAAATGGAGTCACCTATGTCCTTTCCCTCACAGGTCTGCCATTAGATACTGAAACCTAAGAGAAAATCAGATTCCATAGCAAAGGACATATAGAAAGCAGACTGAAAAATTGTTTTGATAATTCCAGGAAGTAAAATTTAGTCATTTTTTCCATGCTTGTTAAAAAGTAAGCTAATGTGTTTGACATATTTCAACTGCATTTGAAAGGATGTAAATGACTTTAGAAATCACAATAGTAAATTAAGCATATAATATGGTCTTTTTAATTTCCCCATTCCTGCCGTTTCATATGTTCCAGAAAAAGCACCCAACTTTTCCCAAATTAGTACGGGTTTTAAAAAGAAAGCCCAAACCCACTGCAGCTGCATTTTCCCATTCCCAGACAAGCCAAAAGCAGATGGGCTAAAGCAGACAGCAGTCAGGATGAGGAGGAGGAGGAGCCTGAGTAGACAAGAGTGGAAGCCAGAGAGGACCAAAGAGGAGGCACAGCTTGCGGAAACGATGCAGAGAAATCCTAGCAGCAAAGTACACACCTTGGCATTGATATAAGGGTCAAAGGGGCCGTACTTTTTGAGTTCTTTGATCTCAAGAGCATTCTACAAAAAGGAGAGGAAAAGAAAATGTGATGATAAAATGGATAAAATATATCAAAGCAACACACAGCCCTGAAGGACCCAACACTGGAGCAACTTGGATCTGCCCTCTGGATGCCTCAAAGGGTAGTTAATTGGAAAGACAAGCTTCAGGACTCCTCACTCATGTCCCCCCTGCATCCAAGCATCCAACTGGGACCACATTAATGCTTTTTAAGTAAATCAATGTAGTACTTGTAACACTACATGGATCCATTAAGTTTGTCAAGCTACTGCAGACATCTTGCCCAGCCCCATCCCACCCACCAGCCTGACAGATAATCAGAACACTGGGCTGGTGTCCCACCTATCAACGGATACTCCAGGCAGGAGGCGGCTGTGAACAGGTTAAGCTCAAGTGGCTCAAAAATACAAGCAGCTGTGTTCCAAGGCAAACGTGAGCAAAGAAAGGATTAGAAATGGTTGCTGAAAATTTTTTAAATAAGGAGGATTTTAATGGGTGACCAGTTTTTTCAACATTAAAAAATATTAGTTGCAAGCAAACTTCATTATATATTTCCTCCAGAGAAGAGAAATTACCACTCTGGCCAGGAGGAGTAAAACTGCATTTAGATTCTAACGAGACAATTTTCACTCATTTTGTTATCAAACAAACAGATTATCTTAAATGTGTGTTCCTCACCTACCCAGAAAATACAGCCCAGAAGGGGAAAGGGAAGCTGATTTACAGCTATTCACACACAATCACCCAGTTGAAAGATTTGGGAGCACGACCTTAATGTTCCCAAGTCTCAGAAAGAAGCTGCCCTTCTCAGAATCAAAGTCATGCTCTTAACAGCTCACTGAGAACTGCATGGGTCTTGCTGATAGATGAACTTGCCAAGATGATTTCCTACTTTCTAAGGAAAAACCTTAATTTAATCTTGCAGATATTTTAACAATTTCCTCTCAATAAAGTCATGAGGAAAACAGTCCTAAGCTTATCGAGAAAGATGAGCATCTCCCTCACTCCAGCAACTGAGAAAAGTATCAGCTTCAGTTTGGAGCAGAGAGGAAAAGGAGCCCAGCTTGCCATGTAGGGAAAGCCTATCTCCTCTCACACTGGCACACAACCTCCAGCCCAAACGACAAGAATTTATACTTATAAGAGGCTCGTCTAAAACTTGCATAATCCAAATATAATTTTCCCAAAGGAATGTGAGGAAGAGGAGGTGTATTCTCAGAGTCCCGAATCCATGGCCATTATAAGGCTGTTTTTGCCCAGATGCTGCCTTTTTTATTTTCTAAGAATCATCTCTACTTTTAAAGCAAGCACACCCTTCAGTTAGCATCTGAGGACATCAAGGAAATGATCTTCATTCCACGGAGTCACCTTTGACCTCATTCACATGTTTGTGATTTGGGAGTTCATTTGCAGCACCAGCATGAGCACTTCTACTCCTGCAAGTTCTGATGGATGTAAGCAGCAGCACGGTTTACACAGTACTGACATATACTGGGAAAGCTGCACTGCCATGTCAATGGCAGCAGCACACTTTATGATTAAGCCCACCAGTTTGAAAGTGACTATGAAATTTTGAAGAATTTACATTATTTCAAATTTTGCACTTAAACTGGGCACAGTTGGTCCTCTGTATCTGCAGGTTTCCATCCCTAGCTGGCTGAATCTGCTTATGTGGAACCTGCAGAAACAGAGGGCCAACTGAACTATGCCAATGTATATAAGGGACTTGAGCACCCTCAGATTTTGGTATGGGAGAGGGGACCTGGAACCAATCCCCTGCAGATATGGAGGGCCGACTGTATATACATTTTTATTATAGTACTATTCCAAATCTGCATGAGTCAAATGCATATAAGATGCATCCTCACAGTATAAGATTTCCCTGACACACTAAGAGGAGTGGAACTGGGAAGAGGAGGGTCACGTTTAGGGTATCTTAGCTGACTCCCTGAGATTTGGGCTGTGGGGCTGAGATGGTGACGGGGCTGCCAAATGGAGCTGTGGTTGAATGGGGGGAGGAAAGCCAGCCTTCCTTCTGACCTGTTCATTGACTCTGGTGTGCGAAGGCCCCTGATGGATGAGCAACCGCACTATCTGGGCATCTCCTTTCCAAGCTGCCAAATGCAGAGGGTAGCAGCCTTTAGAGTCAGCCACGTTGGTCAGCGCATCATTCCTCAGAAGGACCTCGACCACATCCCTAGAAGGTAAAATCAATCATGAGTCTGCAGAACTGGTAAGTCTTGCTAACAGTTCTTTACACTTGCAGAGCACAAAGCCCTCTCACAGCTATCATCTCCTTTGGCGCTCTCTCTCTCTACCTGAGTTCATCATTCAGGCTTTTCCTTTCACTCATGAGCTACTTGTAAAGCTGCTGATGTACAGCTGAACCATCTTGAGCTGGGCTACTCTGACTCCTCACCTCTCTGTTTAGGCTTTCTTGATAATCCATCTACTTTCCACTACTTTGAAAATGTCTGGACTCCTTGTCTAAACCTTGCAGTGTTTCCCTGTTTGTGATATTTAAACAGCATTCAGAGACAGAATCTAAATAAAAGTCATCGTCCAAGACAAATATCATTATTCACCACATTATTCAGAACATTTACTGATGTGGGAGCTGAAAGCAGAGAGGCAAAGCAGAATACACGTTGTTGCAAACATAAGTCAGACACATATGGTATCACTTGATAGCTCCAGAAAGAGAGACTTGGCTTTCTTCTTGGTGACACCACTAATTAAACAGATACAAGTATATAATTATCCCCATGCACATGAGGTCAACAAAAATCCCCACTGTAAACAAAAACAGCATCTGGAGATAAAAGTGGCTAACGAGCTACAGTCATTAAAGTTCAAGATTCATGTTAGTTCAGGTTACCCTACTATTTAAGGGGGAAAGGGACTCTACAGATTTCTTTTTTAGCTTTTCTAAGACGACTATAGAAGACACTGAATGATCACATTCAGTATATTTTAGAAAAGTTTAATGCTGAAGGCAACCACCACTGCCTCTTTCCAGCATGTTGGAGTCGATTAGGCTGGATCAAATACTGGACAAGAGATACAGACTAACTGTAAGGTGGTGAGGGCCCTGCTCCTTGCTCAGAAAAAAAAAATCGAAATGATTCTAATAATCCCTCCTAAGAACTAAACTTCTACTGCTTTTCTCCCATAGTACTTTGTTTTTCTTTAATACTCTCTATTCTGTTATACTCTGGTATCCACTTTTTGATATCCTGGAAAGCCCACTCACTGTGCTCCCTAACCCTTTGTGGAGTGACTTGAAGGGCAGTGCCCAGTCATTTAACCCTGTGCCTCCTCTCTCAAATTCCCGCCAAAGTACACCTTCAGAAAACTTTGCACACAAATCCCACCCAATTCCTAACGAACTCTCTATACTTCAGAGAATTAAACAGGCCATTTTATTTATGTATTTTTTCCCCTTAAAAAATGGTTCTTGTTGTCTACAGGGCTAATTTTATGAGGGAAAATGGAAGGCAAGAAAACAGTAAATAAATTACTTTAATAGAAGACAAGTCTCTCATGATCACTCAATCTATCTTCAGTTTATCAAGGGTCTAGTTACCCAAAAAAAATTCTAGCCTCTTTATGATCTGGCTGCCCCACATTTGATCTTCATGTTTAGATCATTGTGTGGCACTGGAACATTTCAGAGGAGGGAAGAACAAGCAGAAGAAAAGGTAAAACTTAACCTTTGGTTAAAGATTATTTTGGGGGGTGGGGAAGGATGTTTAAATTATACCCTAAAGAGAAACTCTGGAATTCTGAATGAACTGAATTTAGGTTTGTTTTTCTCTGTTCCTAAGTGCCACCGCTTAGCAAACCTTTATAGGAAGTGAAAAAGACAACCTGAAGGCCTGGGTTCTTCAGGGTGGGTCAGGAATGCAGTACATCAATACTTACTTATGGCCATTCAAAGAAGCATGGTGCAGGGGTGTGTAGCCAGTGCTGTCAACACAGTTCACATTTGGCCCTCTCCACATGCTATCAGGGAAAAAAAAGAGAGGCAGATTTCACAGATTGAAGTCACAAATCAGTCAGAGACAGCTAGCTACTTAGAAAAGATTTCTGTGTGTTTACCCAAACTGGTTACTCCCAAAGGCCTCCTCATAAAGGACAGCAACTATACACTACAGAAATGCATAGCATGGAGGGTACACAATGGTTTGCTGAACAAAGGAGTCAAGTGTCAAGGCAAGAGTGCCATTATTTAAGAGCTAGCTGGGTGTGGTGGTTCATGCCTATAATCTCAGCACTTTGGGAGGCAGAAGCAAGAGGATTTCCTGAACCTAGGAGTTTGAGACCAGCCTAGGCAACTTGGTGAGACCTCACCTCTACAATAAATCAAAAAATTAGCCAGGCATGTTGGCACACACCTATAGTTCCAGCTACCTGGAAGACTGAGTGGAAGGATCGCCTGAGTCCAGCAGGTCGAGGCTGTGGTGGCCATGGGCATGCCACTGCACTCCAGCCTGGGTGATAGAGTGAGACTGACTCAAAAAAAAAGTTTGTTCTTCTGTATCCTTCTCCTTATCTATAGCTTCATTATTCACTCAGTCTGAGACTCATACCTCTGAGTACTCCCAGGAATGAAAAACAACTCACTGAAACACTCTAGCATATAAATGAACATATCCTGCCGGGCTCGGTGGCTCAGCCTGTAATCCCGCGCCTTTGGCAGGCTGAGGTGAGTGGATTGCCTAAGCCCGCGGGTTCGAGACTTGCCTGGGCAGGCGGGACCTCATCTCTACAATAAAATCAAAAAATTAGCCAGTCGTGGTAGCGCGCGCCTGTAATTCCGGCTACTCGGAAGGCTGAGGTGGAAGGATTGCCAGAGCCCAGCAGGTCAAGGCTGCGGTGGCCGGGAGCAGCCACTGCACTCCAGCCTGGGCGACAGAGTGAGACTCCAACTCAAAAAAAAAAGAAAAAAGAATGAGACTCCAACTCAAAAAAAAAAAAAAGAACATATCCTGAGATTTTTGTTGTTGTTGTTGTTCCCAAAAAGTGTTATTAGATATAGTTAATTAATCTAAATGCATTACCAGAATCTATGGAGATAATCACAGTTTTTCACATTTAACAAACTATTATTTCAATAGTTTTCTTAATATCGGGTCATTCTCATTTTTAAAAGTCAACTTTATTTTGCCATTATACATTATGGACTTGGTAAATTCTTTTTTTTTTTTTTTTGAGTTAGAGTCTTACTCTGTCGCCCAGGCTGGAATGTAGTGGCATGCTCATGGCTGATCATTCCACCTCAGTCTTCCAAGTAGTTGAAACTACAGATACACGCCACCACGCTTGGCTAATTTTTTGGCTGATTTTATTGTAGAGACGAGGTCTCACCAAGTTGCCCAGGCTAGTCTCGAACCCCTGGACTCAGGCAATCATTCTGCCTCAGCCTCCCAAAGTGCTGGGATTACAGGCTGAACCACCACACATGGCCAGCATTGGTAAATTCTACTTGAGAATATCTACTTGAGTATGTCACTTAGGACTTTCACATCTATATTCTTAATTGAGCCTTGTCTAAAGGTTTTGCTTGTTGTACTATTGGAGGGTATCAGTGTGAGGTTTGGGTTACAGATCAGTTGCACAGCTGTCTACTAATTTCTATACTCAGGAATCATTGACACAGCACTAAAATTATAAAGAATCACCAGTAAAACCATATAGGCCCAGGAATTTTATGCTCAGATGTTGGAAGCAGCATTATTTATAACTATAAAATGTTAGCAATAGCAATCACTAGAGAAATTATGATGATAACTACCGTATATACCAGCTCTACTGCTATGCAACATGACAAAAAAGAGATTATAATATTAGAGAGAAAAAAACAAAATTGTAAATACTGTATAGTTACAGCTCGGAAAAAATCTATAAGAAAAATTTATCAGGATAGTGGGTTGAATGCACAAGTTTACTCTCTCCTGTCAAAAGTTCTATGAAGTAACAGATAAGACATTCCGCCCGAATCAATAAATAGGCAGATACATAGACAGACATATTTACCCCAAGAAAATAATACAAGATGTCATCAAGTAACAAGCAATGTTAAGAAATTACGAAAAGGCAGAAAGAAGACAAGGATGCAAATTAAAACTTATACCATTTTTCACCTATCAAACTGAAAGTGTTTACAAAGATTGGGAAAACTAGCACTCTTAAACACCACTGGTATGAGTTTAAATTGGTAAATTCCTTTGGGAAGACAATTTGGCACTATTTATCAAAACCAAAAATAGCATTCACTTTGAGCCAGCAATTCCACTTCTAGGCAACTATCCAACAAAAGTACTTGTACATGTGCACAAAGACACATGCTTATTCAGGACTGCTTCATTATATGAGTAAAAAACCAAGAACTTAATGTTTGCCAATAGGAAAAAGGTACAATATTAGGTATCCCATAAAATGAAATATTATATAACCATTGACAACAATAACAATAAAGGAAATAAAAAAAGCCAAACTGAACCTGTATGTCCTCATACAGAAAGACTTCTCAAGACATACTGTTATGGGAAAGTAAAAAGAGAGTTCATTATATGATATGCAGGATATGAGCCCCTTTTTATAAATGTGCATGTACATATATACCCTGTAAGTGGACGGTGACTGGAGGAACACTCACCAAGTGCTGACAGTGGTGACCTCTGAGGAAGAAAATGTGTGTATTGGGCAACTTTCATGTTGCACTCTGTATTCTACCACACTGTTTAAAACACGAGAATCTATTCATGTAGTGGTTTTATAACAATGATTTTTAAAAAGGGGAAATAACCTATGCATAGGAAAAAGAAAAAAAATACATCAAAATGTTCATAATAAATAGTTGTATATGAACGACAGGCCACTTTAATAAGCATGTAGATATTAGATTTAAAATCTTTTTTTTTTTTGAGTCAGAGTCTCTGTCGCCCAGGCTGGAGTGTAGTAGCACGCTCATGGCCACCCCAGCATTGACCTGCTGGACTTAGGCAATCCTTCTGCCTCAGTCTTCCAAATAGCCAGAACTACAGGTGTGCACTACCATGCCTGGCTAATTTTTTGATATATTGTAGAGACAAGATTTCACCAAGTTGCTCAGGCTGGTCTCGAACCCCTGGGCGCAGGCAATCCTCTTGCCTCAGCCTCCCAAAGTGGGATTATAGGCTTGAGCCACTGTGCCCGGTAGGGTTAAAATCTTAAAATAAATTTCAGATTCTGCACAGCAAAGAAAACAATCAGCAGAGTGAAAAATCAATCTATGGAATGGGAGGAAATATCTGCAAACCATACATCTGACAAGGAGTTAATGTACAAAATACATAAGAAACTCAAGCAACTCAATAGCAAGAAAGCAAATAGCCTAATTTAAGAATTGGACATGAGCCGGGCTCGGTGGCTCAGCCTGTAATCCTGCACTTTGGGAGGCTGAGGTGAGTGGATTGCCTGAGCCCGCGGGTTCGAGACCCGCCTGGGCAACTTGGTGAGACTTCATCTCTACAATAAATCAAAAAAGCAGCTGGACGTGGTAGTGCGTGCCTGTAATTCCAGCTACTCGGAAGGATGAGGCGGAAGGATCCCCGGAGCACAGCAGGTCGAGGCTACAGTGGCCAAGAGTGGCCACTGCACTCCAGTCTGGGCGACAGAGTGAGACTCCAACTCAAAAAAAAAAAAAAAAAAAAAGAACTGGACATGACTGAGCCCACGGGTTCGAGAACAGCCCAGACAACTTGGTGAGACCACATCTCTACAATAAATAAAACTAGCTGGGTATGGTAGTACTCGGAAGTACTCCAGCATTGACCTGGAGTCCAGCAGGCCACTGCACTCCAGCCTGGGAAATGGAGTGAGACTCCAACTAAAAAAAAAAAAAAAAGAATTGGACAAAAGACCTGAAAAACAATTTCTCAAAAAAAGACACACAAATGGCCAATAGGTACATAAACATTCAACATCAATAATCACGAGGGATATTCCAAGTGAAAACCACCATGAGATATCATCTCTCACCGATTAGAATGGCTATTATCAACAGATGAAAGGTTCAGTGTTGGGAGGATGTGGAGAAAACAGAATTGGTGCACGCTGTTGGTGAGAATGCAAATTAGTATAGCCATTATGGAAGGCGTATGGAAGTTCCTCAAAAAATTAAAAATAGAACTTCCATATGCTCCAGCAATCCTACTACCAAGGGGAATGAAATCAGCATGTCAAAGAGAGAGCTGCACTTCCATGTTCACTGCAGCACTATTTAACTATTTATAATACCCAAGATATGGAATCAACCTAAATGTCCATGAACAGACAAATGGATAAAGAAAATGTGGTATATATACACAATGGAATACTATTCAGTCTATAAAAAGAAGAAAATCTTGTCATTTGTAACAACATTTATGAACCTAGGGGACATTATGTTAAGTGAAACAGGCCAGGCAAAAAGACAAATACTGTATAATCTCATTTATATGTAGAATCTAAAATGTTGAATTCACAGAAGCAGAGAATAGAAAGATGGTTACCAGGGACTCCAGGCAGGGACTGTTGCAGGGAGATGTTTGTCAAAAGAAACAAAATTTCAGTTTGATACGAAGAATAAATTCAAGATCTACATGGTGACTATAGTTAAAACATTGTATTGTACTGTTGAACACCATGAGAATAGGCCAGTGCAGTGGCTCACAGCTGTAATCCCAGCACTTTGGGAGGTGGAGGTAAAAAAAATTGCCTGAGCCCAAGGGTTCAGCTAATCAAAAAATTAGCTGGGCATAGTGGTGCATGCCTGTAGTTCTAGCTACTTGGAAAGCTGAGGCGGAAGGATCGCCTGAGCCCAGTAGGTTGAGGTTGCAGTGGCTGTGAAAACGCCACTGCACTCCAGCCTGGGCAACAGTGAGACTCCTACTTAAAAACAAAGAAAAAAGAAAATCACACGACTAGGTTTTAAGTGTTCTCACCACAAAAATGATATGTGAGGTAATATATATGTTAA